GATGTTCCTCTTCCTTTCTGTGAAGCCCAAAGTCAACTAAAGGGCTAATGATACCTATCATAACGCCTGCCATTTGAAATAAATAAATAAATAATTTGAGAAAAGCAACAGGACCACGTTCGAGTTATGCTTTAAGAAATTGTTTTCATACCAATCCTCAGTACTACAAAAGCACCTCTGATAACTGCTTCTGTTTCACCAGAAACGAATCTAACCCCTATTTAGAATTATGCAGACATAGTTGGCTTCAATGTTTAGATCTACCAATTTTATATTTCCTACTTCTTCGCCTAGAAATTGTGCTTTTTAAAGTCCAACACCCTCCGAGGATCTTAATATTTGAGGTCCTGAGAAATGCATACTTTCAGGACCTCGGCAATATTTGATTTCTTCTCCTGACAATAACATTGCCAGTTATAACTATTATTAACTAAGAGAGGCTCAAAATCGGCAATTAATGCCACCAAAAACCTATGAAAGCATTACTAATGTGCCACATGCTTCGTTAATCCATCTAAAGTCTGGAGAAACACTATTTAAAAGCGTTCTTTCAACAATTTCAAATTAAGCAGAGTTAATCTTCGAATATGTCTTCTTTATTACGCCTTTACATAGTCGCAAAGCTTATCATCAAGACAGAGCTCATCATAAATGCACAAAAATACACAAAAGTGATAAATTCTGATAATATCTATCCGGTCTGATCATGAAAAGAGGGTGGCGAGGCAACGAACTATGATATAGAGGGTGTTAGCTTTAATTCATCTGACGATCCATGAAATCAAGCGGCTCCAAATTCCTGCATCCACCTTTCGTACTTTTCAATGTCAGCAGCAGAGACCGACTTTGAGACACGAGAAATCGCCTCCTCAAAGTCCTGCATTCTGGTGGGAAGATTGAGATCAGCTGTACGAAGATTTTTTATTTCCTCTACTGATAGGCCTTCGATTGCTCTACGCATTGACATCATTGAGGCGTCTCTGTTTCAAATTAAAAAAATTAAAAGGTATTTAATATTCTGGGCACTAAGCGCTCTAAGAAGGCTATACAATAGCTCCAATGTCAGTTCTAAGTCGACTATTAGGGAATGCTAGCCAAAGTCAATAAAAGACTTAAGTAAAATAAGAAGGGGATTCGATTGTCAGCATACAGTTCCTACAACCTCAATTCATAACTGCACCATAATGTGGATACCTTAAGTTCTCCCAGTACTCTATTAATAGACCAATTATTGACGTTTAAACAACCACTTCATGGTAGTAAAGAGATTCAAGAGAATGAAGGAGGATAACGCTATAACGCATGACTCACCATGCGTTTACAAAATTTCCTCCTCGTTAGGCACATCATATTTTTCGTCACAGTTTGATTCAAGCAACTCACAAGGTTCTTTGGAATGTCTTTTATGTTATTTTCGACTGTTTAATAGATTGTAATCACAGATTAGTACATGTACAACATCATTAAGTGAATCCTAATGACACGGAGGGAAATTGACAAGATGTTCTGATGAGAAGCTCGCGACTTATCGAGCTTTCAAACCCGTTATTGCGTATGCCGGATGTGTGCAATGTGTCCAACACTTGAGGTACGGTCACAGCGATCACCACCGGAATTCATCGATTCAATTTTATTCCCCTGACCATCACCTCACATGCTTAGCTTAAGGCTGCCTCACCTTGAGATTTTAAAAGTACAAAAGGCGACCTAATTATATTTATTGTGACCTTATACTACCCAAGTTTAAATTTTTCCCCTGCATACCAAAATAATTCGCCTGAATAATCCCTTTCGGTATTAACAAACTTCTATTCATAGATGTCAGTAGTACGTTCTCTTAAATGGATAATTTTCTTGAAAGATTGGAATTTCACAGTAGGTAACCATAGTTACAACAATAGGGTGAGTATTATCTGGTCAGTTTTTACAATGATGATGATGATGACAACTCACCTGCAAACGTTAGTAATATCTGCACCCGAGTATCCGTCCAATTTTGCTGCAATCTCCTCAAAGTTCACATGCTCATCCAATGCAACTTCACGGAGACTAAGTTGTAGCAAAGCCAAACGTCCGGTCACTAGATAGGCAAACAGGAGAAGAGAAGGAAATAAATGCACTAATACAATCATTTAGCAAACAAACAGTGCAAGAGAGAGTATATAAACGTAATTGAGTAGTTGAATCAGGGTATTCACACCAACAATAGCAATTGCTCCTTTTTGGCGAAAAAGTTATACCCTTAGTGCTTAATATGATTTTCCACAACATTGGGGCCTAAGTCCTGATTGCAATCCGTTGTGGATCTGCGCATATTCAACTCAAAGGTGTTCTCATACCTTCCCACATCCTTCTTATCCACTTTCGTTTCTTGTGCACATACATTTACTTTCCACCTTCGTCGGGGAGATAACATTTGACATCAATTCAAAATGGAGCGCATTTAATGTGCGTGATTGGCCCCAATTAAAGAAATATCTCCAAAATTAATACTAATATCTGCTTTATGATTGTTAATTCTTTAATGAGCTAAGGAAATATTAATGAAAAGTAACGATTTGCATAAAGACTTACCAGACCAGAGGAAGCCGGTTTGATGCTAATCAGCTCATGATCATTAAATAGCATTGGTAAAAACCAGTTAAGAGAAATTTTATGTATTACAAGTTTCGCACCGAGAAAGCTATTCCTCAAAAGACTAAGCCATGCTTGCTTTAAATACACAGCAATGCACGCTATTAAGTCGCCATTAGTCCCTGAAATAACTCGAACTCTCAAGAAGACCACCTAAGTCATTTCAAACTGCTAGAAGATAGTCAAGCTAAAAAAACATCATCAAGAAAACTTCCACGAATTCTACTAGTAATTGAATTTAAAAGATACATTTATTTCCTGTAAGCTATCTGAAAACAATGGAATAGGATTTTAAAAGCTTAAGTCGTGAAATCGTACTTGAAGGTCTGAATGACAATTATTCAAACTGTGCAAGTTCAGGCTTAAGAATGGCCCTGATGCGCTGATACAATAATTAGAAGCTAAACGCATATGTCATGGCGTTAGAATTTGGCAAAATAGCCTCGCTTAAACCATCTGAAATCATTATTATAATTATTTCCTCGAAATCACAATCACCGGAAGTTGAAAGTAAATGATTAGTTCTCTTCGGAACACCCCTGCCAACATTCCTTGCGTCTTTAATACATATGCATATGCACATACACATTTTTACATACCGGAAGTACTTTTTGAAAGAGAGGACAAGGCATAAGTTTAAATGGGAATATCAGATAGAATTTCCACTCAACATAATTTTCACACTCCCCCCTATGCGCATGGATTGTTTACGAATGATTCGCATGTTGTTCATTTTATCTCGCTTCTATATCACAACACTGCATAATAAGATGGGATCCAACAAAGACGCGTCTGTTGGATTTTTTGTCCATATACCAATACGTTGAGCACGTGATAGAACTGGGAATAAGTCGGAATGGATAAGATGCAAAGAATCCCCCCCCCCCAACACCAGTTTACACACATTGAATGGTGTACACAAGTCATGACAAAATTCGGTTGAGAGATTAGAGATTGTTTGGAACCCTGGTCTATGAATGATGCCAGGACTGTAAAAATTGAGATCAGTAAGAGACCATATAAGATAAAATATTATGGCAAAATTACATCGCTTTAAACAGTGGAAAATGCAGAATTAACTAGAATGCTAACATCAGCGTTGACATTGGATTCATTAAGTATTTCACCTAATGATCATTTACTTTTTCCCATCTAAGAATAGAAGTAAAAATCCCAAGTAACATGAACCACAGCTTCCTGCCTTGTCCGCTTGTCCGAAAAGCATAATGTTTGCTATACCCTTGCAAATAAACAAGCTTGTTGGATTAAATTAAAAAAATTTGACATGACAACCAATCACGTGATATAAAATGCAAAAAAACAGAACACTCTCGCGTTAATTACCAAAACCCATCTGGGGTGGAGTTATCTCGCCTGTTGTTTATCCAATAAGGGAGAATAATAGGATTTAAGGACAATAGTTCAACTTGGTAAATAAGAGAGCCCACAGCATACTCCAAGTAGGCTAATGATAAATATTTTCATTAATTTTTTTCATAAGTACAGTAAGCGTCAAAAAATCCATTATCTGGAGATACAAGCCTTACCTAAAGGTAAGCTTATTGATGGAACTATGATCACAACTTCCGATTTAATTTCTATATGGATGAATCATAATACCTGCGCCACTCCAATCAGACCAATAATAACTCGATGTTAAAGCTAGCACGCTAAGTATGTAGTGAAAAAAAACAATAAAATTAAAGCGAATTATACGAGACTCAGTTCAAAGCAAAAGAAGCATCAAGGGTACCCCATAAAACGAATATACACCACTCACTCCTAAATTGTCACTTTATGATAAGCAAGAATGGCTATTGAAAGAGGAGGTGAGACCATTTACCATGAAGTTTTAGCTATCAGGGGGGGGGATGCTTTAAGACATTCGAAATGATGGGAAAAAGACTTGTGTGCCTTGCTGTCAAACGAACAGCGAAGCACATTTACATTCTAAGTAGGACACCAAACAATTTGCCAAATTACCAACAGGACTAGCACAAGGACAGAGATAAGGGGATGAAAGTGTATTGATTAGAGAACCAGAATATCCGCGTGTAACTCATATGATGGCCGCTATCACTGACACGAACAGTAAAGAAGGCCTCAAGATTCTACAGTAAATAACATGAACAGCTATAAAAGTGATCCTGGCAAATTTCTTCTAAACTAATCATGAGTTTTGTTATTCATTTGGATGACCTTAGTCTCGAGAAACTTACACTAATATATACGCCTTAAGAATTAAAAAGAGAAGTTCTACAAGTGGATTAATATTAGCACTTGCTAAAATTGACAACATTGTGAAATCATATCAAAACTACGCATAACTTGACAAGCAATTTAAAATTGGAAGTTGAGATTGCCAGGAAAGAATAAGTCCTTCGAAATGGGAGTAAATCTATTGGCTTATGTCACTAAAGAAAACGTTGCAAATTTTAGGAAAATTAAGTTGTTAATCAAGTTGGAGGAAAATATGAAACTTGAAAGACATTTCATTTCCAAATGCCACATTAATTTAGTAAAGTGAGAAAAACCTGATGTTCTGACCAGAATTTTAAAAATTTTAAATAAAAGTATCAACTGGAGGAGAAGATCGAATGGACAGGAATGATCGAATTACATTTGTCATAAAAATGTCCGCAATGGTGCTGAGTACTAATACGTAGCCATCTGCACGAATACATTGTCTAATTAAAGCGGAGGATATCTATGGGAAATAAGTATTTTTTTGCACGGCTTCAAATTCTATTCACAGATCCCCTGTTAAATTCCAGTCGAAAAAACGCCAAATGCCCTTTACAGTCACGCATAGAATAGGAAAAGGAGGACCTATTTTCTAAGACTGTGAAATTTAAAGACCTTCTGAAAAAAGTTAATAGGAAATTTATGAAGATTTAAGCAAAGATTTAAAATCATACTTAAAAGCAGAATAGGAAAAAAGTGAGGTTGAATGAAATCTGGACTCACATGAAGGTAAAGGTATATAGATTCGCTTCTCCAGGCGTCTTCTTAACGCCTCGTCAATATCCCAGGGAAAATTCGTTGCTGCGAGAACCATAACAGTCTTTGTTGGATCATCATCCTGTCCTGTTGCTCCGTTTACTCCTAATATTAACGAAATTCAGTAAAATCAAATCTTAGGTATGCCAGATATTAGAATAATTTAAGTAAAATTCACCGTCCATCTGTACTAGTAATTCGGATTTAACCCTCCTCGATGCTTCGTGCTCAGATTCACCACCCCGACGAGAGCACAGCGAATCAATCTCGTCAATAAATATTGTACTTGGTGCATAAAATCTAGCCATATCAAAGAGAATTCGAACCATCTTTTCCGACTCTCCGCGCCATTTGCTCGTAAGACTCGAGCTTGAGACATTGAAGAACGTTGTTCCACATTCTGTGGCAACAGCTTTGGCAAGTAGAGTTTTGCCCGTACCTGGAGGACCAACCATTAGAACTCCCTTAAAAAAAATACGGTTACCATAAAATGAAACAACCCAACTACTTATATAGAATTAAGTACCACTCACTTTCCACGGTCGACGAATACCCTTGAAATAGTTTGGTAGAACCATGGGTAAAACTACTGCTTCTTTGAGCAGACGTTTGGCATCATCTAATTCAGCGATGTCATCCCATCGAACCTCGGGGTTTCGTTGAAGAATGTCCCTTTCGAGAATTTCTATGAGATCTTTGTCAGCGCTTGCACCCTCGTATCTATTTTCGACTGGTGCTTCGGTGCTATTGGCACCACTATTGTTTCCTGCTACAGGGGTTGGCGCATTAGAGGAGTTTGAAGAACCAGACTTGGCTGCACTGGGAGCCCTTCCCAAACGTTTACCTAGAATTATAAGTGGAGAAATAGGTCAGACTAAGTATCTCCACAGGTTAAAAATTAAATAATCCACAGATCGTCCCGACACCTAATGATAAATATGAAATGTAATGAGAAAAAAGGAAAACATAATAGTTTTGAAAGCTCACATTAAGCTTTATTCGTAGGATAGGTATCAGGATATACATTTGAGAAGCCAATAAGAAAGCGCTTATTTAATGAGCAATATAGAAATGTTATTTACAATTAATCAACTATGGCATATCTTTATTACGAATAAAAAATAATTTCCGTCATCAATAGCAACTCCTTCCCATTGCTCCCGTAGTTTTTCATTTCATTTTTGAAAAATATTCAGTTTTTTAATTCAAATACCCATTTAGATGAAGCACAGATAAATTAGCATTATGAACATTGAGGTCAATTCTTCTCACCATCTTTACAGCATGCTTGTTTGGTCTACACATCCGTCTTTAATACATCTTAGAGACTTTGCCCGCAAGCATATTCACTTGATTTATCGATAGGACACATGTACACTAAGTAAATTTCCGGACAGAATCAATCTACAGCTTCAGAGTTCTAATAATCAGGAATTGGCTGAACAAACTTGAAGAGAAGACAATCTTTCACAGCTCTAAGCTGGTAATCAAACGCTAACTATTGCCAACAACTACAAATACATTAGTTAACCCACTTAAGTAATATCTACTCGAGTCTTTTTAATAGCTAGGCATGGAGAGGTAGTAAGAACATGGGCAATCGTTCAAATAGTAGGTCACCTATAAGGTTTTAATGACAGTTTGATTTCCAAAAGTTCGAACGTGGGCTTTTACATACATGTTGAACAAGAATAGTCGTTGTTGGTGGCAATGGGCAACTCTCGAAAAGTGCAACAATAAAGTAACTCTCGATCACATACAGGTGATGAAGAAGACACTACGAGATTTCCACTGGCATAGGGGCCGAAAACAAAAATTACAGGGTGTTCGGGATAATATTTTCAAAAGAATATTTGATCACTCTTTCCAGAGGCACTAAAGGTATTCATGCACTCTGCTGACCATACCTGTGATGACAACGAGAATGGATGACAGTAACTATCGCGATGATTCGCCTTGGACATCAAAATAGAGATTACGGTTGGTGCCCAATGCTCCATCAACACTGGAATAAACTGGAAAATGGCCACAGAGACAACGAGGTTGCTGTGGCGGGAATAAAGTTGCATGACTGACGCTCAGATCTCATTCTTCTCCCACAACAGATGTACTCAAAAAGTTGCTCCAGGAAAGCAATACAGCATCCTGAAACCGGAATTCGGGAGTTATCGCAATAGGTAATTGAATATTACCACCTCAACTACGGAGTCTACATCTCAGTGAAGGCCATCGCTGTTACAAGCTCATGCAAATACTGTAAGGCACGGACAAAGACGAAGAGACTTCCGAGTAAGACGAAATGTCTGTTGGAAAACTAGCAAACTGGCTCCTCCTCAATGAGAAAAGCTTATGCAAAGAATAAAGGCGAAACAAACAAAATACTAAATAGTTTCACATGAATGCAGCTTGAAAGACATTCCTCGAGTCATGCAGACTCAATTTCTCCTAACGCCCATGTTTCTACGACGAATGTACACCTCCGATGGTGGTTTGCTATTGATGTCTAATTTAGCGCTTTTTTAAAAAGCAACCTATTTTGATTTCAGATGTATAGGTGGAACTGCTCACCACCGTAGTGAATAAGTCCTAACTGACGAATGATAGCGGTCAATAACAAAACAAGGATATGGTGCCAGTATGATTCGGCCACTGGCACATCTCAAGGGAAGGTCAAAAATGGTTGGCAACTAGTTCTATGACTGCACAAGTCCCAAAACTTCCACTCCAATGGACTAATAGGTATGTATTTGATACTGCAGAGGAAGACACTACCCACCGAACCGGTAATACAGTTACTCGAGAGTTAAAGTATGTTTAGAGACTATTTACAGAGTATGCTCCAGGTTCTGGACACTTACCCAAACCGATTTCAGTTTGTTGGAGATGCTAATGGCGGTCAATCTAAGCGAACTCTGGCAATAGCACAACTTCCTAGACCATTGAATTTATTTCAAATCCACTCATTCTTAATTACCAGAAAATTAAATTTTTCTCGAAAATACCGGTAAGTTTTTCTTGACTACTTCATTCGATTCGCCTTTTCGTGTTCCGTATGCTGCTATAAGGGTTTTAGTAATTTCAACTTAGTTATTGCAATTGAGCATTGGCAAAATGACTCGTTATGAGTCTGGAATCTAGTTTTCATTTACAATATTAGAGCCTTGAACTTCAACAAATAAGCTCATGCTACACACATATGAAGGACGTTTCAATGCATTTGTTCACTTTTTACAGCCTAGTTAGTTTCAATGAAGATTAGAGTAATAAATGCTGTTGTTTTCAAATGGTTTGTAAATTATCTTACGAAAAGGCTCATTATGGGCTTGGAATCTGTTTTATTTACATAATGCTTCAAAGAGGGTACGCTACGGGGTTGCAGTGACTTTACAGCCTTTTCTTGCTCAAAAATTCAACGAAAATAATTTGAATGTGCTGCGTAATACATTCTTCATCTGCTCTGTGGGTTGAATCATCATTTTTATAAAGACATCGGATCACGAATTGCACGTGACGCTTTGAATTATGGAATAGAGACATCAATCCCAATCTCCTCTTCTGATATATTCCCAACAAAATATGCTAGTCATGTACAACAACGAGTATAAATTTAAATCTGAAGTCATTAAACTCAAGTAATTATTTTAATACTTTTAAACTTGTTTTTTTCTAGATTGCTAAAAAAATTCATAATTGGATAGTTCCACAACATCGGACACTGGTGTTAACTAATTTGGAATGAAATTCTGTCGAAAAAATCAAAGCAAGGAATCATTGATTGCAATAAAATCTGAAAAAAGCTTGAACACAAGTACATTTGGAGGCATGTGAGAATATTTTAGTTTTAACAGCTTAAGATCGTGACAATAACCTAATATCTCGTGCCTCAATAAATTTTTGGTTTTACATACTTTAAAAGAGGAAACAGCAACACAAAATAGATGAAAGAATATATAGAAAAAATCGAATGGATACAAAAATATGCCAACTAAGAAAACTCTAAGAATGAATAAAAATATAAGTTAGCCTAAAAATTCAAGAAAAAGAACAACATTTAATAAGAACCATTCACCTGAAGTAGCTTTGGAGGGTACTCGATTTATACCTTGAGAACCAGCATTACGAGGTCCCTCTTTGGCTAATCGACGACCACTAACTTGACGACATGGCACTGTAATGGGATTAAATGCTTGAGGACGGGGAGGTGGTGGAGGCCAAACATCAGGATCACGAGTTGGTTCTTCAAGGGGATCAAAGAGTGAAAAGCTTCCTCCATTCTGCTTCCCATCAAGAGTAAAACTATTCAGCGTCTTATTTATATCCGAAACAAGCTCAGACTCTTGCATCACCTCCTGCTGAACCTGATAATGAATTTTTTCGTGGGTTAAAAGTGTTGCTATTCACAGAACAAAATATTTTAGACAATTATCACCTGTATCCATTGCTGCTTCCTTCCATACTCCTTTATACCTGACAAATGTTTTTTAATAAGAGCTAGTCCGCAAGAATAAAACGTCAGTGCACTTTCATAATTGCCCAAAAGACTATGCTCTCGAGCCTGCCTGATATTAGAAAATATCTCCGAGTAAACGCTCATATAACTAATGAGATGAAATCAAGTTTGCCGGCAGCATTGAAAATCTACTAAACACAAACCCTAATAGTACTTCCTGTAAAATAAAAACTAATTGAATGTGATTGATTAATCTATTTAATAAGTTTTTACCTTTCTCAGCATATAAATTATAACGCAACCAAGGTGTAACATTTAATTATATATCTTACAAGAACACTTGTTTTATTTTAATAAGTTTTAAAAATTTTAGTATGTATCATACAAATGTATTTGCATATCCCAAATCTTTTGTTTGTCCTTATCAATTTGTCAACGTGAACGAGAATTATACCCATCCGCTTGGAGTCTTTCGTCTCGTTCTGCTGTTTGTGCGAAATGAAGCAATCTACTTCAGTTAAAAAGTTTACTAAGGAGGAAGAGATGCTCTTAGAGCAATACGGGCGTACTTCGTCCAATAAATCCATGAAGATAATCAACGGAAATGCTCTCATGATTGCAGCGGCTCCCATCTGTATGTTTGTGAATTAACCTGCTGATTATATTTATCTTACTCAATTTTAGGGCTTTATTGGCGTATTCACGAAATGGACTTTGCTCTCTATGCTATTCTATTTGCTATTTTTACCCCACTCGCTACTTACCTTATTTCCATTGCTTATAACAACTCGAGAGGCCCGTTGATGGAGAGGTCTACATTTTTTATCCTGCCTTATTATTACTAGTCTTCACCACTCATTATTACCTTTCCCTCATTTCTTTGTTTTAGAATTGCTATCATTCGAGCCGATGCTATTAATCAGGAGATTACTAATCAAATTGGAAATGATAAGAAAATTTCCAAGAAGGACAAAGATGATATGTAGGTTTCACTTATGTGTTGGATTAATACATTTCATTATTAGGGTTCGTCAAAAAACAAAGGACGTTGCTGACTACGAATCTACAATGTTCTCAATCTTCTACATCAACGCTATTTTTATCGTTATTTTGATGATCACCTCAACTGTTCTTCATCAGCTCTCAAATCCCATGTAAATTGCCCTTAATTTTATTCCTAAACCATTCTTGTCTGTTTTTTATATCATTTTTTTATTCTTCTAGCAACTATAGTTTTTCAATGTTGGTCGCCTCGGTTTCAACTGCCTTTTTATCATCATCTGCAAAGCCCAAGCAACATCGGGCTTAAATCTCTCTCCTTCGAAATATCCTTGTTTAATTTTTCAAGCTTGACGTAATTATGTTCTTTTAATAATTGATATGGATATTTAAATATATTTAGCCTTGTTTTGCTACATGTGTACGTTTTATAGTACTCGATCATTGGTGCTCGCTTAAGGAACGAGCGTAAATCTCTCTAAATACCTTGTAAGTTATTTCGACTTCCGCTTCTTTGCTCCCTTAGCTTTCTTCCTCTTCTTGGGCTTATTGGTAATGATTTTTTTTACAACTATTATGGCTCTCCACCAAGCTTGTATCTGAAAAGTGAAGCAAGTTTTGTCTCAGTGTTGAGGTCGAATTGTACGTGTTCAAATTTATCCTATTTTATTTACCATTGCTGCTGCTTCATCTAGCTCCTTTTCGCGTCTTTCTTCTTGCTCTTTTGTCTTTATTTTATTTTGATAGTCTGTTACAACCTTTTCCATCTTCTCATACTAAAAACGATAATTTAAACAAACCGGAGTTTACTTCGTCTTTTAGTGTAGTCAGGGCTTCCAATTGCTCATTTCGCGACCTCGTGAGCTCCGCGGTCTTTTTTCGCAAAGCCGCATATTCTCTTTTGTGTTTCTCAGTTATGTTCTCGATTTCCTAAAACGTATAAGCCACCGTAGCATATTCAGTTCTTTGTAAATAATACATGTCAAGTTTCTGCGTAAATACGGTTGAAGCTGATTGATTTGTTCCTCTTTTATTAAAATAAATTAAGCCGCCTTGCCGTTTATGTGACTTTAGGCTTTCTCCACTGCCGCGCGTATAATATGCTGCTTTAGAGTAGTGATCTCCTGAATACTGCGCTGTTATCTAGACTATGAATCATTACTCATTTTCTTTCGAATTAATTAACATCTCTAGCCTATGTAAGCCACAAATTTCGTTACCGCTGATTAATGGAAGTGGACAAAGCTTTAAACCTTATCAGCCAGTATGGAAGTAGGTATCACCACGTTTGGCAACATGTGCAAAGACTAAATCAATGGGACTCAGCACTCCTAGGTAGACTCAAACACAAGAGCTCGTGTCGCGGGAGAGGGTATTGACTATTTTGCCTCTGATCGATTTCACCTCTGTTTTCATTTTCGCCCTTCATGGACTCAGGCCCTTTTGGTCTTTTATTCTCTGAGTTAATAAATTCTAATTTACGCCATGGTTAAATTTAAGGCATCAAGTACGTACCAAATGCCCACATTTGCTTATGGGCTGTCTGTTGAAACTATTTGAAGCAGTGTCTTGAATCCCCATCCCACCTGTACTTACCAGAACTAAGCGCAATCTGATACTTTTCTGAATGTTAACGTTGTTTAAATTTAGACAAGTAACTTAGGCACTCAAAGATGGGGAGTTGTCTAACCAGTTAGCAGTGGGAAGCATTAATCGTCTACCACAACAATTTGGATATCTTGATAGATGGAGTTGGGAATTATTTACTGACGTCTTTATAACCGTTATTTATGATAAAAACATACAGCTTAAAATGCCATATAGTGTTGAAAAAATGCTGATCATTGAGCCATGAAAAGATTTCAGCCAATAAATAAAATCTTGATCCAGTATTTGTCCAAGTTAACTAAACCTAATATAAATTACATTCAGTGGAGTCGATATCGATGAGCCATGCTTTGTTCGATTTATATCTCTATTTGCCAACTCGAATTAAAGATATATAATCCAAATACAGACTTACGGCTTCCAAAATACCGTTATTATCAATAATCCAAGTATTGATTTTGCTTTGTGCTTTGATTGCAATGTCAATATCAGCAGATATTTGGTCAATTTCCGCTCTTAAGTCGCTCTCTTTTTTCTGCTGTCGCGCTGACTCTTCAGCAATCGCATTTTCCACATTATCCGACCAAAGTTGAATCTCTTGTGGAACTTGCAATTTCAGCTCCTTTGCGTTAAGATTTAAGTGTTGGTTCCATTTAATAAGACTTATAAATTGAGAATACGTAATATCACTTAAAGTTAAATATAGGTTATTAATTAAATAATGACCAATATGACAGCTAATAGGGTACATAACTATACACAAAGTAGTGCCCACTTGACGTTAGGTTTCAAGGTTTAATAATTCAATTAGTGCAAATTTTTTGTCTAAATTCAGAACTAAAATCGCTTATATGAGCAAAGATATAGAAAGATAATAACATGATCTAGAGGAAAATTCTATGAAACGGCAAAGTGAGCTAAAACCAGTAGAGATTGAAAGGAGAAGCGAATGACCAATCAAGAATAAGGATTTATGAAAATTGAAAAGTTATCGCAGGTGCTAAATCTAGCACCAGTGAACAGTGCTCGTTGTTCAAGTCAAAGGCCACTGGATAGTTACTTATCAATGCATATTCAGTGACATTGATGGCAAACAGAACTACTTAAATCTTGATAATAATGAGAGTGGTAAAATGAAATTTCTTTACAAAATCGACTACTGGATGCCCTCCTTTTGATCGCTTTAAGTTCTATTAGTACTTCCCACACATTGTTGTGAGAAGTTGTGTTCATGTCTAAAGCCAATCTAATTTTAAATGATTGTGATCCGGTGAAGATCTAGTTATCGTGGAGGTTAATGAACTTGGGTGTCTTGACTTTGATCCACATTGGGCTAGAGCTAGCGAAGTTAAAGGAATGGTTTGCTCTGTCTAATAGCAGATCGGTAATATTTGATATTCTTTTCATGGAGGACCCATTGAGCTAGCTCCCATCCAAGATGAATGCCCCAAAAATTTGTACAATTATTATCGAAATAGCTCTATTGCGCATAGAATGCATGCTTTGTCTTTATCACCTGTGCGTGCTTTCTATTAAACAAACTTGTAGTAGCTATATCTCCATTATTTTCCATTAATTAATCATGCTATGCAAAACTCTTATTCCATTCTGAATTATAGTTAAAGTACTGGGGAATTCATAAGGAACCAGACAAAATTGGATTCTAAAATTCAGTCAGTATTATTCTTTTAGCAATAACGAGCTCCTAGTGAGAACGAGAATTCCATTTCCTCTCTGTATTACTAATTTTCATGACATCTTTGCTGCAAGACTCGGGCTTTTATTTACATTCTGTGAATTTAAGACTACTTTGCAAATCACAGAATGATAAAACCGCTCGCCATTGAAAATGTCTCTTTGAAAGTGACGCCTTTAAATGGTCATTTCAAAGCAAAATTTCAGGCGTAAGCGGACCATTAAACGTAGAAATCGAAGTACTAAACGAGTATGAATAGATTTGCGTAAGAACCTAAGTTAGATTGACTATGATCAGGAAGTCCTTCATTCTTCTGAACAGAAACAGAAACAGAAACGTTGCGTAAATAAATAGTCCAGTATTGCTAAAAGGTTCGCTTATGTGTAAAGTAGGTAGTGCTATAAAACAGTCCGAGTAGAAATAAGCAGAAAATGTTAAACTCTTTGAAATGAAGAAGTTACCTAGGAAACCGATTAATACTTCACGAAAAGATGAAAAGAAAATAAGAAATACAATAAATCCGGATTGGAGATCGATGATTATTAAGAATAATACAATAATGTGCCTCGATTATATGGTGCTTCAGTAAACATTGTGACAACAAATGTACCTGTAGCTTTTCTTTCAACGTTTGTATAAGACTGGTGCGCGTCTGCAATATTTGTTCACTCTCAGCATGAAATTCCGATATTTTCAATTTTATTTGTGTTATTTTATGAAGTAAATCTAACTGCCTAAAATAACAATAACCAAAGGCATTGTGAGCTAATTTTGGAGAGAAATGGTTGAATGTAGTCGCGATACACATAAGGCAATATACCTTTTATGAGCATTGGTAAACTTCATAAATTCGAGTCCTGAAATATCGAAGTAATTCTTCAAGCTCTCAAAACGTCGTGTTTCTTTGATTTCTGCACACCATTTATTTAGTAACTTTCTTATTTCTGACCTTAAATATTATTTATGTTATAGATTTCCTACATTTCTTTCATTATGTTTTTCGCGTACATATATTCTTCTCTATTTGCGTCCTTGTTTCGAATATCTTTACAGCTTTCCTTCGTTAATTCATACTTTGAATCTAATAATTTTAGATTGTATGAAATTCTGTTCAAAAACTTGAATGCTTGTAATTTCTACCAGTTTTCCTCCCGAAGCAATCCAGCAATATTTCGACCCTTTTAAACATCCCGGCAACATTTTTAACTTCAATATCTTCACTGTGGAAACCATATTTGGAATTCAATATCGATATTAAAATCCCTATTTCTTCAGATGCACACTCCAAAATGCAGCGGCATAATATTGATTCAGGGTTTTGGGAAGCCATCTTTTAGTAAAAAGTAAAACAAGTATGTAGGAGTAACTTGCACAAATATTATTATTTAGATGGAATAGAAAGCTAGTTCAATCAAGATCCTATCATGATATTAAGAAAGAGGTAAATTAAACTCCAATGTTTAGAAATCAATAATTAACAAAGGCATACGCATTCAATAACCACTTGAATGTTTAAATTGTTCGATTGTGCTGATTATAAAATGTAGATTTGATAATTAATTCTTCCTTAAATGTTAAATCTTTTAAAATATTATTTTGCTTTAAAATTAACATAATAAACTTTAAATTACACTAAATGAACGATTTTATGGCATATTTGAACTAGTGTCAGTAAATATAAATGGAATACAACATGAATTCAAAATGATGTCAAGGCCGTCTCCGCGTTTCAATGTATTTTAACAATTATTCCAACACATTTTTATTATATCGATGTTTATTAGCTTTAATTAAGTAGTTTTCAAAATCAGAAATTGCCATATGTTTTTCGATTTTCAATCAATGGAAAGTAAGTCAAATTCATCTACCGTAACAACTTCGCTTTCAGGTTTAAATATGTTTGTTTATTTATGCTTGGGTCTTATCGATCCCTCAAAGTCACCTTCTCCCCCCCCCCTCCCCTCCACCTGCCCACGAAATTTGAACTTTATATCGAAGTTTTTATTATCATTCATAGAAATATTACTTCATTTAAATCATTTGATCGGAACATAGATAAATTTCGAATTTTAATAATTTAGTCAAAATGAATATTTCGGAAACGATATCACGGAATGCTTTAAAACTTCTTATATCATTTAATGTCTTTCCCTTCTTTTAGTTAAATCTCATATAAGGTAATTGTGAATTTGCTCGATGCAAAAGATTATATGCTGTAAAGAGATTGGAGGAATAGAGGCGATCAATTCGAACTTTTATAAAGGTTATCTCTTTTCATTCATTTTCGATTAATTCACTTGTTTTTCTGGATCGTCGAAATACTCCAATCGAACGATTTTTCATGCGAAATGAGAATTCATGTGGCAATAATTGAACGATTTCCAAGCCAGTATTGATATAATAAGCAGCATAATTTATCTACACTTGCCTATTTGTCCTGAGAAATTATTTTGGAATCTAGAGTTGATCACTTTAAAATCCTTTGACTCACAAAATTGACCATTCTGATTTTTAAGTCATCAGAGATTCAAGACTGAAAACTATGTAATTTTTCAGCATAACTAATACTGAAACTTTCAATGTACTATTTAGTACTAGATTATCACTACAAAACTAAAATAAATAGCTAGTTTGTATAAATAATGAGCTTTGAAGACAAGCTAGAATTTTAGAAATTAAGAAGTCCCTTCGATTAATGTGAGATACATGCACCGTTTTTGTTGCTCCTGATTATTTAACTGAAATTCCCTAACCTCTTTTGTAATTAATGAAGACTATTCAACAGTGTAGTAGTGGCAGTCCAGTTATCGGTGTCAAATATTGTGGAACTATTCAGTAGTCAGTTTTTTAGCAATCGCGAAAAATCAAGTTTAAAGGTAATAAAATAATTACTTGAGTTTAATGACTTCAGATATTAAAGTTATACTCGTTTTCATACATGGCATCCTTATTTAGTAACTTATATATCAGGAGAGTAGATTGGAAGTATTGTCGCTATTCAATACCTCAAGGCGACATATACAATTCCGCGATCGATTGGGTATCTTCTTAAGGATAATGCTCCAACTCACTGGACAGGTGACGATTTCATTTCCCAGCATATGGCATTTAAATATTTCGATTATTTTCGTTGCCTGCAGGTAGAATTTTTGAGCTAGGAAAGGCTGAAAAGTCATTTTAACCACATAATGTGCCATCTTTGAAGGATTGTGTAAATAAAAAATGATGCCAAGCTCATAACGAGCCACTTTGTAAATTATAACTAGTCTGTAAAATAGGATAAACAGATACATTGAAGCGTTCTTCATGTATGTGTATCAACAGCTTATTCGTTGAAATTCAAGGCACTATTATTGTTTTCGAATTCAAGAATCATGATCTCAATACCGACGAGCAAAGTTAGGTGGATAATTGAGTCCTTTTAATTTTAATTCTCCAAAGAAACTTATAATTGGACTATGTTCTTTATCATGTAATAGGACTAAAATGTAAAAAAGCTATTTGATAAAATTTCATTTGAATTAAATCTTTATTTGAAAGTATAGTTGTAGAAATAAAAAAACTGAAATTCCAAGTCAACTTTACTTCCACTCGTTTGGCAGGTTAATTAGATAAATTCTTCACAGCCATAATAAACAGAACTTTCGATGATAAAGCACAAGTTGGCGAGAGCCATTCACAGCGAGGCTTATGGAAGTACAAATTTTGACGCTTGGCAAATATGTGTTACAAACAAAGTGTAATGAACTTCAGGGGGCTAATGTTTTCCCTTTGTGCATGCAAATTCCAGGTCGTATTAAAAGGGTAATATTTTAGGCCTAGTGTTTCTGAATTGCATGCTATATCCCAAGCGGAGTCAAACCCATTCGCAATATTGTAGTTTTGAAGTAAGGCAAATGTAGCATAGCTTGTTGTTAATCTACCTCGGCAGAAAAGGTCATTCTGGTGTCCAGATGATCTTGAAGTAATCTTGTGATTTTCAAGAATATGTAAATCCCGGATATGATTCAAGTTAATCCATAGAGGTTAGATAGCGTTCTTTTCTTCTCCATTGTCATAAATACCGACGCGACAATACCCAGCTCTGTGAAGTGGCTGATTATAGTCAAATTCGTTTCTGCGCTCACCGGGGAATGACCAACTAATGCAGTTATGTTTGGCTGACAGAAAGTGGGTTTCTTATCAAAGAGGTTCCATAATGCCAATAGCAAAAAAGAAGAGCCAAGGGTAAACATATTCATAAAGTGGTTTAGGAGGCACGAATTCCATTATTTAATAATATCTCATTATGATTGTCAATTTCAGGTCTTATATCAGGAAATAATTAATTAGAATTTCATTTATAATTTGTATTTGATACAGGCACAAACAATTTTTTGATATTTGAGCAAACAGTTGATAGATTCATTTGCATTTTATAGGCAAAAATATCCTTTTCCAGCTTCTTTCACTTATTTTTTGAGCTGTTAACAAGCTATTCGAGGTCGCATTTCTCTGCTATAGCAGAATCTCAGTAGCACAGTCGTCTCTGTACACGTGTAAAGGCACCAGGTCAGGAAGTGCGGATTTGAGGTGAACGAAAACTGAGCGACTTGAGGTGAAGGCCAGTGCATACACGCCAAGAGACTAGGATGTACGAGCCTTTCTAACCGCGCACATATGGGATGACCTTAAATGTGTGGAGGTCATACACAATCACCAGTAGCTGCCTTCAGCACGTAAATCCAAGCTCTCTCTCTCTCTCCCTGCCATACACAAGGCCGGTCATTAAGTCTAAGCGACTACCACGCCTTTTAATTACCAAGTCTGACTAATTTTCTACCTCATTTAGTCCATATAAGGGTGATGTTAAATTGACTGATTTAATCTCTAAGATAAAAATCCACTTAGCCGAATAATTGGTTTAGACTATATTAAATCATAATATAAAAAAACAAATGTATGTAAAAAATATTATTATGAAATTTCGGAATTTACTATTTCATGAGTCTTCCGGTTTTGCTTTTCATCTCTAAATCCTCACAAGTAGGAGATATCAACTAGTGTTTATCAGTTTTTTTAAGCTAACTTTGTATTTTGCACTCATTAATTTACACAAATATTTACCAAAGGGGATAAGTTAAAAATATTATCAAATATAATTTCGTTCCAAAAAGCTTTCTTCACATGGTAAATAAATTGGAGTTCAGGCCAATCATTTAGTATATTCGTCTTGAGATCATTTTAATAGTAGAATTTGGACAGAAGTCGAGAACTTACAAAGTATTATTTGCTGAGGACAAAATAAAGTTAATAACTACGATTTCACTCCAAGGACGATGTTTTTTGGATAACTTCAGTTAATGCTTTAGGTAAATCCTTCAGTCCTTAAGAGTTTTGAAATCGTGAGTTTGACGCTTTGGTTCAAAGAAAAATGGATGCAAATCTAACATTTGGTGGACTTCAAGAGCTACTATTCCCATCTATTTACAGTTTATTTTAAATCCAATCTTCTTTAAATTTGATGAATTGGACAGAAACAGCAAAGCGGATTTAAGCTATTTGAATGTCTACTGTTGTCATTACCCTCAGTTATGAATTTAGAATGTTGTTTTTTAATATTGGATATATATTTAAATCATAATTAAAGTATTTTATTCAACTTATCCGCTAACCTGTTTATTCAGCATTGTTGTGTCATCATTAGACGAGAATACAGATTCGAAATATTGAAAATTAACTATTTTCTTGAAAATGAGCGTATGGAACAGTATTATTTCAAAAATTACCACAACAATGGAAAATTAAAACAAAACAGATGAACTTTAAACCCATAATCAATAGCGAAAATAGAAATTTAAATTCTTATATTTTAAGAAATTATATCTGCATTTTTTGATCATGCTTAGTCGTAATTTAATTTAATTACATTATTGTTAGCAAAATGAGTTTCCACAAACAGACCAAATTAAATCAGTGCTTATTTGGAATTATTACATTGTTAACCTTTAATAGGTTAGTTCCATTTACCTGGTAGAATATTATAAATACTGGATATAAAGCACGGATATTTGATAACCAAATTGCCTATTCTGCATAATTCAAACTCTTTAAGTTCCCTTAAAGGAAGACAGGTTTAATTTGTAAGTTGTATCTGGTTTGGCAAATCAACGTGTCTTCGGCAAGCGCGAAATCTGAAATAGTTTACGTGCTCTTAAGGCTAACCTGGAAATGGGTGAATCACCTCAAGCCGGCACATAACCAACGCGCAACCTCTTCGTTCTCGTTGAGTTTTTATTATCCTAGGTAAGGCTGACGATTTTATGCCATTATAGAACGAGTTTAAAGAAGCCATACTTCACAATGAGAGTTGCTCTTTAGTTAGTTGATCGGTGATGTTGTGCGAAACCATTTTAGGTAAGCAAAGCAACTAAGACCATAAATTGGCTTAACGTATCCAGAAGTTAGGCCAATAGATCCAACTGATGAATCGATCGCTTAAACATTTTTAATAGGCTAGCGAATGGTGGAGAATAAGGTTAAATATCAACAAAACAATAAATATTGGCCACTGATGGTTTTAATGAAGATTTGTCATGAAATATTATAATCCTGAAAGTGAATGCACATACCGATGTAGTATTTATATCGATCAATTAAAAAGAATCATATTGGGCTTCGAGAAATCAACAAATTGAAAAGGTCAAGATCAGCTCGAGGTCTGGATGAATTGAAATGTCAAAATCGGTCATCAAAATGGAAAACCGCTCAAGTAGCCTGGATGTAATGCAGGGAGGAGCCCTGGAATTTAAATTTTGAAAGGTGATCTACCTATTAAATAAATATTGGACAAACCTATTTCTAAAATAAGTAAATGAATTAAAATCTTTTGATAACTCGAAATTACTCTTTACATACGTTTTTAAATTCATTGGACTCCATTTGAAAAGATTCCAGTTGCTTTCACACAAACAGAAATATGAAACTTTGTTGCTGTTCTACAGGTTATAATATTGTGTAACAATATTGAGTCAAAAATATATATTCTTTCAGATGAATATTAGCAAACCATGTTTATAAATGTGATTTATCAACGTCTTTAATGATTAATTATTTTAAATTGGCATATTTCCTTCTTTAACGATTGGTAGAAAACTTCCAAGGCGAAGGTCAAATAAACGATTCGGATTATATTTGAATGACACGATCGGAAGTCACATTGAAGCCTCCAAAGAGCCTCACTAATGGTCATAAAGGTATTTTATTTGCTAGTTTTGGTCGTATCTTCACATGGAAATAGTTACCGGCTGTTAAAGAACCATAGAATCATCCCTCAGCACTATGTGGATGCCAAGATCGCAATTTCTTAAGATCAATTGAGAACTTTCGTTACTGAGCAGTTGACACAGGATCTTGGACATAATAGTAATGTAATTTTGAGTTGGGGATTTCATTATTAGATATAGATAAGTGATTCAATTCGTTTATTAATTTGCGAAATGTTAAGTTAGGATGGAAAGAACCAGTTTATCATTAGCCACCGCCTACAAATCCCGAAATAGAAGGCTTTGTTCAAAATAACAGGTAAGGTCAACGTCAACATAATTAGTGCCTTTTAACGTATTTACAATATTTGTAAATAATTAGTAATAACAAATTAAATCTCATTTTCCATTAATTAAAAGCGTTTCTATTTCCCACCACTACCCAATAACCTCTAAGCTGAATTGTTCCTTAGTGGATAGTAAATGAGTTAAAAATGAGTATAATAAACATTCACCACTTGACATAAAAGTGTCGCCTAGTATTTATTTTAATTTTGGCATTTAGTTATAATGATATTTAATCACAAAAAATAAAAATGTCATGTAAACTTATTCCTACTGCGATTTAAATAAAAAGTGCCCTTAAAGTTACATTTGAGACCTCTTCTCTCAACCATTTTTAATTTACTTTTATGAATTGGCTAATCTTTAAAGATGCTTCAATCGGCAACCAACTCCATTGTGGTAATGTCAGAATAGTTCACGTTTAAAACTTCATTGATTGTAAAGGAAAATTGAAGGGGGGAAATTCGACGGTCTTACCACTTTCTCTCCCGATTTCGCTTTGTTGCTTAATTTGGAAAGTTGAGTCTTTTTAAATCAATAAACTCACCTTTAAATCAAAGATGCTGGTTAATTTTGAAGTTTATCAGCACTTTTATTTAGAATTAGCATAAATAGATATTTCCGATGACCCAAAGACCTCCTTAAATACACAATGTTGTAAAATTTTCAGGACAATCTGTGTTAGGTTGGGTCACATTAAGGTCTGTCTGATTATAAGTGATGTTTTATCAGGCCTGTGCACTTTAAAGAATCCTTTGAACACAGTTTAACGTCGAACCTCACATATAGGACTCAGTCTCAGCAATTCATATTTATTACTCCTGACCCAGGGTTTAACTTTATTAAAGACAGGTATTCTCAAATATTTAAGGATAATTGAAATTTGCGGTCAATACTTTTCGGGGGGACCTACTTACTAATTTGGAAGTTGTGTAATCGAAAACACTTTTCCGTATTTTCATTTTATATAAATTAGTAGACTGTATGTTACCAATAAATGTTCTCGATTTTATTTTTCCTCATCGCAGTACAAAACACACTTTCAGTCACACGAATTAATAAAATAACGTAGCAAGGAGGGTAGAGGATGAAAACCTGTAAGACCCGAATTATTTTTTTAAAAAAATGCACCTAATCACGCTCACGCATGTCTCACAGCAGACTGATGTCCAAGTGATGAGTTGTGGTGGTAACAGGCGAAGGCAATAGCGTCTTCTGTTATGAGTCCAATACCAATGGAGTAAAATTTGAAAGAGAACCATACTGTCCTAATGGCGTTAAAGGGTTAATGACTATGCGCAGGGAGGTCGGTATGTCGAGAACCGCTCATTATTCCAGTCCTTTGGATATCTTGAGCAGCCAATTTTTTATAATTGGTTTCCTACATTTTGAAATTTTCAAGTGTTAAATACTCAGATATCATTATTTGTTCCTTGGTTTCTTATTGAGTACACGCCTGCAACAGTAACTTAATTGTATGTTAGATCATGTCTTTTGATGTGTTTGTAGATTAGACTGCGAAAGGTATTAATAGCGAGCATGCAAACTGGGAATTCAAATAATTCACATGCCTAAATATTCCTTGAAGAAATTTGAAATTGAATGGTTCGATTATAATTCACTAATTGCATACCAATTCTGGTGTACATCAACATTCATTCTGAGAAATTGAAAAATGTAGATAGTGCCAAGAATGATGGACTTGTACAACATTATCAGCATAAATGCTAAAATACATTTATTTTTCTTTTTAAATTATGATATTTACACTCTTGTTGTTATTTATATTCAATATTTATTTGAAAATATTGAATGTGATACCGATTATACTTTAATAAAATCTCCTTTTAATAAAGCAATTGTAGCATTTTTGCTAGGATAATTAGAAATCAATAATCGGGAATTATTCATCAAAATGATGAATTAACACGGCGAGCCTATTAACGTTTCAGATTGAAAGTGATTTCCTGTGAAATGGATATCAAGCATAACCTATAAGTAAATTTTAAACCACATTTTACTCATGAACTTCTGTTCAGACCATGTTTATTCGCAAGTAAGAGCGAATCAACATAAACTTGCTGCATAGAGTACGTACGCACCGGCGAAGGATAGGTCAAGGTTGTAAATATTGCCATGTAAACATTCGTCCTTTCAACAAATCAGGACATACTTCGAATATTACTGGTTCAGCATTTGCGCCAATAGCTTTTATGCGTTCATACATACCAGCCTGCAAGGCTTAGAAGTACGCACAGCTGTGCTACCATCGGCAAGGAATCCTAGTGGTGAATTGCATGACCTACTGCACGAAACTGCTTAAAAATGCTGTAAACGTTGCATTTCCATACTTAATTTAGGGCCGTGTCAAGCGTGTACAGGCATTGATCCCGGTGATTCATTACCTAATATGTCAGAAGATCTCGCCAACTCGCAAGTTTTACTTAACCAATATTGATTATTATTATTTTAGAACCTTTTCGATTACCAGTGAGGACAGAGCCCTTAATGGGAAACGAAGAGCGGATCAGTTAATAGAAGCAACAGGAAATGAAATCCGATACCCACCACCACCGGTGCTCCAACCCCAAACCTCGATGACCCTTCCTAGAATTCCTCATTTGCTTCCAATCCCTTTTCGGTTCCCTCGGGATCGATCGAATTCCGTGGATACGCATTTTTATCGAGCGGTCTATCTTCATGGAGAAGAGAGTAGTTCACGTGGAATATCTTCAACAGCTTCTTCATCGCCTATGAATACTATGGTGCAGCCCAGTACACCTCCGCATTCTCCCATGAACATCCGCCCACAAGGCATCCCAACATCTTCAAACAGCATTTTAATGAAAATTCTAGTCAATAATGACGGGAGCTCTTCTCGTGATACTAACTCCAAATACCTCGAATATGTCAAATCGACAAATAAAAAATCTAAGTCAGATGATTCTATTGATCGGAGAATTATGCCTCCACCAACTATGAGTTCACGGCGCTACAGCTTCGGTGGAGAGGCATATAGAAGCTATGCTCAACGTAGAATAGAATTAACGACGCAACAGAACAAAACTGAAAGGGCATCGACTATGCCAAGTGGTAGTTCCAGACTCCCAGATTCTCCAATCTTGTACAGTTTGATCAGCTCCCTCTCCACTAACTCACCTCCTGAATCATTTCGGAGCCAGGATTCTGTATCTGAACTTCCTCTAGACTTAACTCCTCGGAATGTAGTAGTTGAATATGTACATTTAGCGAAAAAAGTTGCTCAAACCGTTCAAGCAAAAGTGACCACCTATATACGCTGGTCAGCGGAATATGTTTTCACCTACAGAATACCCTCCATGAATTGGTACTTCGTATTTAAGTCAGTTTGGCATCGGCTCCTCATCGTCTGTATGGCAGAACATGGATTGGACATTGTCTACGTTGTATCCAAACAAGTTTTTGAGACCCTCTCTACTGGTGAACCTGTTTTGCCATGGATCGGTATTTCCAGAGATGCTGCGGACATAAGTCCAACAAGAACTTTTGCCGAAAAAGTTATCGACTGCATAGAATCTCTGCGGAAGTTAAGAATGACTACTGAAGATTATCGAGACCTCAGGGATATCATTCTTTTTACCTGTGAGTTTCCATACTCTTCTGATAGAATGAATCACATATTAGTTTATATACCAAGTCATTTCCTTACTCATTTTCTAGCGCTTTCGATTATCACCATTGTAATAAAATATTGCCTCAACAAATTGGCCTTAAGACTTGATGAGTCACCCCAAACCAATGTTTTTGGCAAACTTTCAGTTTTCTTAACATTGGGCTACTGTTGTGTCATTTTAAATAATGATCATGACCTTAGATCCTTTAGTTAAGGTTAAAGGTTAAATTAACAAATTTTCCTTTGTTTGGGGTTAGGGTCATCTTAAGATCAGGTTTTAAAATCTCTCTAATCCAGTTTTATATTCTTTTTAAGCAAATCATCGGTCCAGTTTGACGGAACGAGTGGTGAAGACACTTCACGAACGATGGATGAATACCCGACCTCATTTTGGAAGTGACTCTCGAGAAATAGCAGCCCTCAGGAGTGCTATTCAAAAACTGGAAGAACTGAAAGCTGGTCCGACTGCAGGGCTTTTATGCAGTCATCTCCGAGGCGAGGGTAGTAAAGATCTCATTCTTTCTAAGAAAATGCTGAATTCGATTAGAGACATTGATGGCAGTATCCTTGGAAGTCTCATTTGCGATCCTCCTGATCTACGAGCAGCACCATTCCTTATGAATTACCTCAAAGTTTATGAGCATAAACGGGGTTCATTACCTCCACGCTAATTTGTCTTCAATGACTAAATCTATCTGGCATTTGATTTTAAGTTACTTTGCATGAGATGAACTCCTCTTCCAACGGATAACTTATCAGGGTATTTAAAATAGATCCTTTCCCCCTATTGCGTTTCCAATGTATTCCAAGTTTGTTACCGGTCTCCATTGGTGTATACAGGTTCTTCTCTTTTTTTCATCCTTTTTTTCTTATGAGATCCGGTTATGACTTTTTGGGACCGATCCAAAGTATTGGTCACTTGACAGCTTGTGAAGTCGTCTTTAACCTTTCTATTCCCACCTTGTCAACGTCTCTTGTCCGCTCTTAACGGATCTTTTTATTTAATTTGTAAAAACAGTAGTTATTTTATAAAAAAAATGTATTTTGAGGATTTGTGTTCTCATATTCCCTTAGCACAACGTTGATACCCTGCACTATTTCTATGTTTCATATTCATTTGAGGGGTGCGCGATAGACTTACCGCCATGTAGCGCAACCCGGGGAACATACACTCACACGACCAAAAGGTCTTAAACCGGCGGTTAACTTCAAACTATCATGACCCGACTGCGTGTCATTTGCGATCACTTTCACAGCACTCACCTTACCTTTGCGTCTGTCTATTTTAATATCCGTGAATCACTCTTCTGCCCCCCCCCCTCGATTTTTCGTTACTTTGTTGTTCCTCTCCTTTGTGAGGACCTGAAGGCAACTACAGGGCTTATGACAACAGTCATTTATTTATTTCAAATGGCAGCCGTTTTGATAGTTATCATTAGTCCTTTAGCTGACTTCAAGCTTCACAGAGGAGAGGAGCAGACAAAGTCACAAATAGTCGAGAGGGGAAACAGAACAGTGATCCACAGGTGTAAAGGAGACAGACAGGCGGACAAATTAAAGAAAAGGTAAGATGAGTGCTGTGAAAGTGGTCGAATATGACACACGGTGGGGTCATGGAGTTAGAAGTCGGCTACCTGTTCATAGAATTTGCCGTATGAGTATACATTGTCCAGGATGCACCACGTGGAAGTAAATCTATCACACATCCCTGATAACAATCATAAAGCTTGTCATTTAATATAAATAAATGTTCATTTGATAAAGGGAAAAAGTCGACTATTGTCAATAGTAAAATATTATCTGGGGGGGGGGGGGATCAATGTATGGCTTTCATATATGAAGGCCATTTTGGAGGCATTTTGGGCAATTAATTTTTAACTTCATCGGATAATATTTGCATTCAACTGTGTCTTATTAGAAATTGCAAAAACCGCTCTGAGTCAGTCAAAGCACGCCACTACTCTCGTCAAATCAAATTGTGTGTTCAGCAAGAATTCTGAGGCATCAGAGAAAAGCTCCAAAATTGTGCCCACAATGATTAGCTTGTGGTTTTAATTGCTCAAAGAAAAATGCCTAAAAGCGGTTTGCAAAAAAATAGGACACTGTTCAACTAGAGAATGGCAAAGGGATTTTCATAGTACATAATACCAGAAGGTGATCAGGAAATAGCTTCCTGGGCTAAAAAGACAACTAATTAAATAGGAGTTTCCTATCAGAGACGACGTCGTGCTTCCAACATTTGAGGGGAATCCACGAGAACCGAAAATATTCGACCTCTTGAAGATCCTACCCTACTGTCTATGGATATTTAGCGAAAACGGCAACCAGGTAGGGTTATTTCATGCAAAATTGAAAGTAATTAAACTTAAGTAGGACATTTCAATATCAATGGTTAAATGCATTCAATTTTGCAATAATGCGCTGATTCCACAATAGTACCGGGTTGACTTTTTGACTTTTGGGTTGACTTGGACAGTCTATAGCCAATTGACATCAAACCTCACTGCAACCAAAGCCAAACAGTGAAATTTTAACCTTGAAACATCAACACCTCAACCAATAAACTTTCCTCAAGACTTAAATGGTTAACAGAATTGATCTATAATTAAAGAAGGGGTGTGCGATAGACTTACCTCCACGTGGTGCACCCTGGGCAACGTATATTCGTACGGTAAAAAGTCTATTGATCGGCAGTTGACTTCTGACTTCAAATTACCATCACTTCACTGTATGTCATATTCGACTACTTTCACAGTCCTCACATCACCTTTTTCTGCTTTTGTGTCTGTCCCTTTTACATCTTTGAAACACTCTTCTATTCCCCACCTCTCTCGACTTTTTGTCACTTTGATGTTCCTTCCCCTCTGTGGAGCCTGAAGTCAACTAAGGGGCTAATGATAACTATCAAAACGTCTACCATTTGATATAAATAATTAAAGAAGTGAATAGCTCTTCTGAGACTGTGTCGCTGTGATTAATATTGTGATTTATTTAATTTTAATGCAAGATATTTAATCGATTTCAAAGCAGTGGGAAAAATGGTAATTTATTTTAAATGACTAAAAAATTCTGTTATGTCGGTCTCGCTCCCCACTATAACTATTTCACTTTCGACATTTTTGAGTAAATGAAAACCAGGAACAAATAATCTCTTAGATTAGCTTGTGAAACAGGAAAAAATGTACTTTTATTCGTTTTACTAGAGTGCTATCCCTTCCTGAAAGCATAATTTTGATTTAGTTTGCTATTGAAAAAGGACTCAATTTTGTACAAAGAAAGGATTAAAAGTACATATAGTGGGTTGAGCTTGTTTTTAATACATCATTTGAGTTTGCTGTTTGCCCCTACTTCTCCCTATAGCTGATGTACGCAGTTACCACGTTAGTAATTAGGTTTACGTCGAAATGAATCAGTGCTCGAGTCTCGCAAACAACGAAATTGACAGACGCGCAATTGAATAGCATCCTTTTACTGCTGATGCCCTATCTATTGGAATAATTCCGATCTTTGCTCATAATGTGTATATTGTTTACCTTCCTGAACCAGAGTCATGCTTAGTTATTGGCATTTCCAACTTACTAGGTCGGATTCCCGCCGATGCATTTAAATTGAAAACGAGCCATTTCAAGAATTAAACGCATCCTTTATGGAGTATTTCGAGAAATCACTTCTAAAAAGTTCCCTACACAACGCTTATTGACCAGGTCACATCTTAATATATTATAGATATGGAGAAGCATTCTGGGCTCCCGGATAGATTAGTTAATATCATTGTTACAAACCCAAGTATGGTCAAGAAATTGAAGGGCTTTTCACGAATATGCCCTTTAGAATCATATATCACTAGTAAGAGTTGGTAAAGACTACCAAAATGCAAAATTGTTTATTTATTTTATTTATATCAAATGGCAGACGTTTTGATAGTTACATTAGCCCTTTAGTTGACGTCAGGCTTCACAGAGGGGAAGGAATATCAAAATGAAAAAAAGTCGAGAGGGGGGAGGGAACAGAAGAGTGCTTTAAAGATGTAAAAGAGACAGACACAAAGGTATAAAAATGTGAGATGAGTACTGTGGAAGGGGTCGAATATGACGTACAGTAGGGTGATGGTAGTTTGAAGTCAGAAGTCAACTACCGGTCAGTAGACTTTTTTGCCGTATGAGTATACGTGCAAAATTGTTTATAAAGCCTCGAGGACTCCTCATCAGTGTAATTGAATGCCATAGCCGCTATTCGCATTCACATTCCGATCTTTGAATAGATTGACATGTTTTATTATGCAATGGGAGGCGGGTGGGGGGGGG